CCACCCCCATGGGGGGTGATTTCTCGCTTTCTGTCTCTATCTCTCCCTTCTTTCTGGCGTGCACAAGTGCCCTATAGCAAAAACCTCTTAAAAAAAAAAAAAAAAAAAGACCATCACAGAGTAAAGCCAGCAAATGACCTGGACAAATGCGCCCGGGCTGTAGGACCCAGGCCCTCTCCTTCACAATAAAGCCGTGAACTCACAGGGCCTACGCTTATCCAAAGTGAAATATTTACAAGAATTTAATATAACTTAAGAGGAAACCTATCAAATTCATGTTCCATTAAAGGCAAAAATAAAATATGCCAGCACAGGAGCTTCACAGCTGATCAACACGCTCTCTGATAATATAATTCATCAAGTGTTTATTTTTGCCCTAATTCTTCTATGGCTTTAACATGTACTAAAAGACACACATCCGTCCTCACTGCGTTACTAGAAAACTTGTTACTTCCTAGTTACACGCGCAGAACCATTAAGTGAGCAAACCTGTTGCAAACAGCCTAATTGGGACTATTTTAATATATACTTACAAAATTGATCTGACTACCTTGGAGAACTATGCTTGGTTAGTTCAACTGACGATCTGAAACATGGGCATTTGCAACAGCAGCCTTGACTGCCACTCCCAGAGGGCTGAACCCATCACCCAGTAGAAACAACAAATAGAAAGTCTGAAGCTCCGAGAAGAAGGAGGCATCGGCCTTTGCGTACTCCGTGTCTCCATTTCCCAGGACAGAAGCGCTGGCTCGTTAAAAGGGAGGCTCTGTGTTTGTCATCAGCCATCCTCTCTGGTGGCAGCTGTCAAAGCCACTGCGGTGTCCAGGCAAAGCCACATGTCGACTCTCCTGCGAAGAGTGGCAGATGCCAGGCCCTGCCCCAGGTCCACTAGATCAGAATTCTCATGGTTGGAGACTGGCTAGCTACATTTGTCTAAAGTTTGAAAGGCAGTTTTCATAAACAACACGATAAAGAAAAACTACACTGATTTAGTTAAGAGTCAGAGTATGGGGACCAGCAGTTGGCTTAATGGCAGTGTCGCTGGACTCCCATGTGGTCGACCGCGGTTCGAGTCCCGGACCCGGTGGCTTAAACTCACATCGGGCGTGTGTGCGTGCGTGCCCAAGATCCCGAGAGGAGAATGGAGAAGGGATTGCTGTGTGGCCATCCCCCCTGGGGGGTGATTTCTTGCTTTCTTCTCTCTGTGTGTCTGTCTGGAGAGCACACACGCCCTGTAGCAAAAACCTCTCAAAAAAAAGTCAGAGTATGAAAAAAGTGAATTTCATAGCACCTACAAGTTGACATTCATTCACAACACCTCTCAGTGCCCGACTACACGAAGACCTGCGCTAGGGACATGTAAACACATGTCAGTGTCCCCTCCCAAGCTTATGGTCCTCAGGATAGAACAGGACCATCTCTGGAAAAGGCAGCACAGCACGCTCTGGGACAAGATAGGGGATGCCCGGTGGGAGGGTCAGGAACTCCCTGGAAGGGAATGTTTGAAATAAACTCCAACAGGAGTGAAGCCCCATATCTGCCCAAAGGGTGGACGTTGAAGGTAATGCAATTCAGCAGAAATGAAGCTGATTTCGACCACTTACCAACGGCAGTCTCGAGTAACTGCAGCAGGCCCAAGTTAGCTGAGCAGAATTCGGGAGTCATGTATACGATTCGGTACTTGCCTCTGCAAAATCAGACCAATACATAAATAAACGAGAAACAAGAACATACAAGAAGGAAAACGATCACCTTATCAATTAAAAGTAAAATGGAAGTACCTTACAAGTGTTTACACACTGTATTATGACACCTACAGAACCAAGTGGACATTACCGACATGTGGGTGCACATACGGGAACTAAACGTCCTCACGGCGTGTGCGTTCACATACGGGAGCCTCACGGCATGTGCGTCCACATACGGGAGCCTCACGGCATGTGCGTCCACATACGGGAGCCTCACGGCGTGTGCGTCCACATACGGGAGCCTCACGGCGTGTGCGTTCACATACGGGAGCCCCACAGCGTGTGCGTTCACATACGGGACCCTCACAGCGTGTGCGTTCACATACGTGACCCTCACGGCGTGTGCGTTCACATACAGTAACTCTTGGGTTTCTCTTTCATGAATCAAAATAGAAATTGGGGATGCTCCTCAGGGACCCCTCAGTACCAAGGTGACAGGAGTGGGTCCAGAGCGGGGACGACCGTGAGGAGCGCTCAGTTCTAAGGTGACATTGGGAGTGGGTCCGGAGCAGGGACGACCGTGGGGAGCGCTCAGTTCTAAGGTGACATCGAGAGTGGGTCCGGAGTGGGGACGACCGTGGGGAGTGCTCAGTACCAAGGTGACAGGAGTGGGTCCGGAGCAGGGAAGACCGTGGGGAGTGCTCAGTTCTAAGGTGACATCGGGAGTTGGTCTGGAGTGGGGACAACCGTGGGGAGTGCTCAGTTCTAAGGTGACATCGGGAGTGGGTCCGGAGCAGGGACGACCATGGGGAGTGCTCAGTTCTAAGGTGACATCGGGAGTGGGTCCAGAGCGGGGATGACTGTGAGGAGTGCTTAGTTCTAAGGTGACATCAGGAGTGGGTCCGGAGCGGGGAAGACCGTGGGGAGTGCTCAGTTCTAAGGTGACATCGGGAGTGGGTCCGTAGCGGGGAAGACCGTGGGGAGTGCTCAGTTCTAAGGTGACATCGGGAGTGGGTCCAGAGCGGGGATGACTGTGAGGAGTGCTTAGTTCTAAGGTGACATCAGGAGTGGGTCCGGAGCGGGGAAGACCGTGGGGAGTGCTCAGTTCTAAGGTGACATCGGGAGTGGGTCCAGAGTGGGGACGGGGTTGGGTCCAGAGCAGGGACGACCATAGGGGGCGCTTGGTACTTAGGTGGCGTCAGCACCATGGTTACTCCATGCCTTCCGTTCTCCTGCCTAAAACTCGGTGACCGGGGGTCGGAGCCCAGCCTCTCGTCCGGAACCTGGAGGTCTGATCAAGAGACAGCTGACTCTGCGAGCACCAGACCACAACACAGACAAGCAGAGGTGACAGTCACATACTGCAAGGTTTAGGGGTCCCAAAGCTGATTCTGTGACTAGAAAGGTGGGGTGCTCGTCCCTGCAGACAGCAGAGAGGACGCCACGCAGAGAGCACAGGGGAAGCACTGTGACACTCCCAGTCCAACTCTGGCCCCTCCGTCTGGGTGGGCCCACTGCTTTTCAATGGGGTCAAAAACACTCCTTCATCCTCAGCGTAAAATTCAATACCCACTTAACCTCGCTGGGTTTAAGTGCTATTCTCAGCAGAGAAACCCCAACAGAGACGTGTGCCACCAATGTCAGGCCTGGGGCAGCACACTGCAGTCTATTCTCCCCTCTATGACAGAAGACAGATCAAGCTGCATAAAATGAAACTGAGTTTTCTGTAGAAAGAGACTTGAAAATATTCCATCCATTCGGTGAACAAATGTTCAAGTGTCTACTGTGAGCTGACCACTGAGCTTCACAGGAGTCGATGAGGAGCCAACGCAGGCCTTTTACCACAGCACCAACGCAGCTCCGTGACCAACGAGCAATGCTCGGCTGCCCTTCCGCGCTGTGCCACCTTAGGCGGCTGACGTACTCTAGGGTGCCCAGCGTCCTCGGTGGAGACCAGTGAAGGTAATTATAACAACAGCGGATTCTTGAGAAACCCAGACTCAAGGTACGCCCCATCACAGCCCCTGCAAGTATTCTGGCTGAAAGGGTGAAGTGCCCTGGTTGTACAACGGGCCTGGCTAATGCGGTTCTCAGTGAAAACCCCAAAAGAAGACTTGCAGTTCCCAGGTTCAAGGCCTATTCCAGGGCTCTAGTAAGTGAGACCAGCAGGCCAGCCCAGGGCACAGAACAGAGAGCACAGAGGAAAGCCCTGTTACGTCCCGGCCCAGCTCCGGCCTCTCTGTCAGGGCTGGCCCACTGTACCGCAGCAACAGTCCCATCTAGGCAGCCTTTCCCAGCTGCCAGAGGACATGTGCACTTGCCACAGAGACAGAGAGAGCGTGTGCGCGAGCACCCCCGTTTCCCTCATTTCTCCATCCCATCCAACTTGGGGACACATGTGCACACACGAGTGTCCAGAGTGCTTTTCAAGCCTCCAGGGCCAGGGTCTGAACTGTGATGGGCTATGTGGGATCCAGCTCACTCCACCACTAGCTATGGGGCCGGCCTGCAATTTATTTTTTACAAAGGTACAAACATGAGTAGTAGTGGGAGGACAGACTTTTAACAAATGGAGTGGGACCAGCAGATGGTATGATGGTTACATTGCATACTCCATATGGTTGACTGCGGTTCGAGTCCCAGACCAGGCAGCTTGAGACTCACGCTAGGTATGTGGGTGTGCATGCCCCAAATCCTAAGAGGAAAATGGAGGAGAAGGGACTGTGGCGTGGCCATTCCCCCCTGACGGGTGATTCTTGCTTTCTGTCTCTGTCTCTTTCTGTCTCTCTGGCAAGGGCATGAGCCCTATAGCCAAAAATTTCTCTAAGGAAAAAAAGAAAGAGACAAATAAATGGAGCTTAAACACAGCACCGCCTTGTGTGGGAGAAATGCTACGCTCAATGCCTCATACAATACATAAAATTGCCTACAAAGGAGTCACATCTTTAAACACAAAACCAAAAAGTATGAGCCATTTAGGAGAAAATACAGAAGAATATCTTTGTAACCGCGGGTGAGGCAAAGATTTTCTTAAACACGAAACGCAAAATCCATAAACAAATCAATAAACTAAATTTTATCAAAATGAAAACTGTTGCTCCCTAAAAGAACTGTGAAGAGTATGAAAAGAGAAATCATAAACTAAAGTTTGTACAAAATACATCAAATGGAGGGTTTGTATCCAGAATACACAAATGACTGTCAAGACTCAAAGTAATAAAAACTACAGAATAGACAAAAGAGCAGACAAAAGGCACGTCTTCAAAGATGGGCAAGACAGGCAATGTCCACCGGTGCCATGGCGGTTAGGTGACGGACCTCACATGGCCAACCACATGGCTTGAAAAACACCTGGGGCATGTATGGCTCCGTGTCTGTGTTTGCATGTGGCCAAAATCCAGAGAAAGGGCAGGAGGAGAAGGGGCGCGGCAGGAGAAGGGGCCCGGCCAGGCAGGAGGAGAAGGGGCGCGGCAGGCCCGCCCACGCGGTGGAAGGCTGTCTCCCTTCCCTCTGCCTCTCTCTGACACACTCACAATCCCTCCAGCAAATTAAAGCTAAGGGGGAAGAACACAGACAGCTGCTGAGTATGAGAAGATGCTCGATGCCGTGGCCGTCAGAGAAGCAGTCATAACACGACTGTCAGAAACGGCCAGACGGGCCATGCTCAGTAGGGCGCGCAGGGAGCAGCTACGCCTGTCACCCCTGCCAGAGGGAAGTCAGACGCTAAAACCACTCTCAAAACGTGGGAAAGTTTCTTCAAAAGCTAAACATATTACACATGACCCAGTAATTCCACTTCTAAGCATATACGCACGAGCGTCAAAAGCATGTCCAAGGCCCGCCAGTGGCCTGGCAGTTTAGACAGCTGGATCCCACACTACTGGCTACACACTTCGAGCCCCACATCCAGTGGCCTGGAAAACGTGTGTCCAAAATCAAAAGGAGGGCAAAAGGGAGAAGAAGGGATTGTGGTGTGGCCATCCCCGACGGAATGCTCTCTTACTCTCTCTGTGTCTTTGTGGTGAGCACACGTGCCCTATGGAAAAATGTTCAAAAGGAAAACTTATTGGGGTGATGTAGTGGTTAAGACGCTGGACTCCCACATGGCCAAGTGCTAGACCTGGCAGCTTAAAAATTAGGCCGGCACGTGTACTTGCATGCCCAAAATCCCAGGAGGAGAATGGAGGAGAAGGGACTGTGGTGTGGCATCCCCCTGGGGGTGAATTCTCGCTTCTTTTCTCAGTGTTTCTGTCCTCTCTGGCAATCACATGCACTCTATGGCAAAAAAAAAAACTTAAAAAAAAGATAAAGGAAAGCTTTTCAAATTATACATGTTCAGTTCATAAATTCACTGTATGGCAATAAAACCTTATTAAATGTGATTAAAAATATTTCCTAAGGGACCAGCAAATGGCATAATGGTTAGGTCACTGGACTCCCACAGTCGACTGTGGTTCAAGTCCCAGACCCGGTGGCTTAAAACACACTGGGCATGTGTGGGTGCACCCAAGATCCAGAGAGGAGATTGGAGAAGAAGGGACTGCAGTGTGGCCATCCCCCCAGGGGGTGATTTCTCACTTTCTGTTTCTCTGTCTCTCTGGCGAGCCCAAATGCACTACAGTAAAAATCTCTCAAAAAAGAAAAAAATTCCTAAGAAAAGAAAATATTTTCACAAAACTTTTTAAAGGAATGTGCATAGCCGCTGCATTAGTAATAACCCTGAGCTGGAAACAGCTAGGTACCGATCGGTGAGGACACAGAAAACAAACTGTGGCACAACTCAGTGAAATAAGCCACTGCTGCATGCAACGACGTGAAGACTTGAACACACACCCCAGAGCGAGAGGTCTCACACAAGAGCGCACAGCGTGTGGCCCTACCGATCCGGCAGCAGGTACGATTCCTAACAGATCAGCCCAAGCTATGGCAGAAAAGGATCCGAGTCGCCCTGGGACGGAGGGTGCGAGGGCAGACCAGGACGGAGGGACGGAGGGTGCGAGGGTGGACCAGGAGGGGACATGGCGGAGCTCTGCAGAGGGCTGTCGTACTCCCCGCCGTCCAGAGCTCCAGTGACCCGTCCGCACAGCCTCCCGCGCTCTGCGAGCAGGCGTGTGGGCCGTGCAGGGCACTCTAGCTGAGGACAGCACGTGGACGGCAGCCAGTGGGCAGGAGGCCGCAGTGCAGAGACCACCTGAGGCTTTGCCCCAACGTTGGGCAACACGTGACCGCACACACACTCCTGCTTCTGCGCCTCTGAGACGGTACTTCCTGGAAGTATGTCATGGTAGGATGGGGGCAGCAGAAACCTACAGATTCAGACACATTCACTCTCGGAGCGATTTATTAGCCTCGGGGCCTGAATTTCCTCATCTGTAAAACGAGACGGATCCAAGTATCTCTGCAAGTTCTCTGAAACCCAGACTTCGTGATTCTGTGACTACAGTGCCAAGCTGATGGTTCGCAGGTCTACGTCTAACACACTGTGAACGAGCACTTCTGCAAGTAGCATGGGAAGGAAGTCCACTTTAAAGCCACGGACACGTCCGTGCGCGTTAGAAAATGTGTGGTCAGAATTCCCCCACAGCCGTAACACATGGCCACATGGCCAGAAAGTACATAAATACTCACAACTTAATATCTTCAAGAACATTTTGTGACTGTGCTGATCCAAGGAAACAAGCCGGAATGTTGGACATCCTGTAAGAAAGATGAATGTTCTAGTGTGTGCACGCGCCCTAACGACCAACTTCACTCTTTTTTATTTTTAGCGCATTTTGCTATAGGGCACACAAGCTTGCCGAAGAGAAAGAGACAGAGACAGTGAGAGAGAAAGTGAGAAATCAAGCCCCAGGGAGAACGGTCATACTGCAGTCCATTCTCCTCCATTCTCCTCTTGGGATTTTGGGCATGCACGCACACATCTAGTGTACTTTTCAAGCCACCAGATCCAGGACTCGAACCTCAGTCGGCCATATGGGAGTCCAGCAACCTAACCACTATGTCACTTGCTGGTCCACTAACTTCATACTTTTTCCTTTTTTTTTTTTTGTTGAGAGAGAGAGACTTTTTTACTATGGGGCACGTGCACTCACAAGACAGACAGCGAGAAATCACCCCCAGGAAGTGAGGACGGCCACGCCACAATCCCTTCTCCTCTGTTCTCTCAAGATCACGGGCACACAGACGTGCCCAGCAAGGGTTTTAAGCCACCGGGTATGGGACTCAAACTGTGGTCAACCACGTGGGAGTCCAGCGACACAGCCGTGATACCATTTGCTGGCTGCAACGTCACGCTCAGGTAACAGACAAAAGGTAACGTGTGCTCCTCCTCTTTGCGTTCTTCCCTCTTCTTGAAACTCACTGCCTTGATAGACAGATTCCTTCAAAGGCCAAATCAGAAGGCAAGTGTGGAAGGTGGCTCTTTCAGAAAGACTGCAAGCTAAGGTTGAAAAAGTGGACATGGGGACCAGCAGCTGGTGTAATGGTTATGCTGCTGGACTCTCATGTAGTCAACTGGGGTTCAAGTCCTGGAGCCGGTGGCTTAAACTCACAACGGGAGCGTGTGTGTGCGTGCCAAGATCCCGAGGGGAGAATGGAGGAGAAGGGATTGCAGCATGGTCATCCACCCTGGGGGGAGGTTTCTCGCTGTCTTTCTGTCTCTCTGTCTCTGTCTTTCTGGCGAGTACACGTACCCTATAGCAAAAACCTCTCCAAAAAAATAAATACATAAAAAGTGCACCTATCTTTCGCAGATTATATACTTACATGTGTACACTTGATAACAAGCTAACGAGCAAAGGTAAGAGAAAAAGAACTGTCAGTGTACACTGGAATTAGGTAATCATGCTGGTTTCGGAACTTTTGTCAAAACTACTCGCAGCTTTGAATTACAGTGAGAACTCAAAAAAATAAGCTCTTCCACTAGAGAGTCATTTCATGGCAGTGGAGATAAAGCGGCACATGCAGAGATGCAGTACTGCCAACTGACAGACATGCAAACCAGCGTCTTTCACAGGATGGAATACAGGGGTGTGGCAATGGAGGCGTCACTCACGCGAGCTGAAGCACCTGGTCCTCCATCAAGGCGATCAGAGGGGAGATGACGACACCGAGCCTGCCTTCATACACAGGTGGGTACTGGAAGCACAGGCTCTTCCCATACCCTCGGAACAGAAATCACACACGGCGAAATGAAAATGAGGCCGGAGAGCCCGGTTTCTTCTTAGAATGTGCTGGGAGCGCTGAAGGCTGTTACTAAAGGCTAGCTTCCTCAAGGCTAACCTATGCACGAACCTGAACGTCTAGTCTGTCTGCTCTCCTCTGTATTATATACCACTTGCATTTATATTTTGAGAACTTAGTAAGAGATTAAGCATTTTGAACCCCTTTAAATTTTATTTTTTAAAGATTAGGTTATCTGCCCAAGTACAACTTACCAGTTGCCATGACAACAACATTATCTCTTCTTTCCTCCAACACTGAATGAATCACTTTCCACTGAACCCTTGAAGGTAAAAGGCAAAAAGCTATTTTATTAATAAGAAACTTAAAAAACAAGTTAAAACCCATTTAATTTCTCCACTTTATCTAAAAGAATCTCTGTCACGTTGTCAAGCTTCATGTGACTGTGTGTGAATTTCGGATCTCTAACAGACCCATTTGGTCAAGCTCTCCTTCAAGCTGACTGGGTAACTAGAGTTTCCATACATCGAAAGTACGAAATAAATTCCAAGCCTCATACTAGCTATCCAAAGGAACTGATGTTTCACCATGAATAACAAGCCCCCCAGGGGTGGTGACTGAGAAGGTGGCCGAGGACCAGGGAGCTCTGTCACTGCTGCAATACCCCCGCCCCCCAAGTAAGGGTCCAGATGACGTGTACACTCCAGACTTGCTAATGCGCATCTAGCTTTACAGACACTGTCAGGCCGAAGGGAAAAACTATCAGTATTTAACGCCAGTCAATTACTTCTACGAGAAAGTACTCGGGGGACACAATGTTGTCTGCAATGGACCCCAAGCTGCTTTTAATACGTCAGTGGATCAATGACAGGATAGAGACAGGTACATGATGAAGCAAGAGCAGCGAGATGGTGTAGCCTAGATCGCAGGAACGCAGGCATTCCCAGCACAAGAAAGAAAAAGTCTTAAAACTTTACTATAGCTTAGAAAATTTTAATGAAATGTCAAAGGAAAAAAAGTCAATTGGAGAGGTGGTCTCCTGGTTTACTGATTGACGTCCCATTCTTATCTGAGTGCTGGCTACACTGGAAGCTCGGTTTATGAAAATTATTGGTCTGAACGTTTATGCGCATTTTCCTGTATGTAACACACACTTAAGTAAAACATTTTAAGATCAAAAGAAAAAACAGTTTGGGACCAGCAGTTAGCATAATGGCTATGTTGCTGAACTCCCATGTAGTCGATCACGGTTTGAGTCCCGGACCCGATGGCTTAAATTCACACCGGGAGCATGTGCATGTGTGCCCAAGATCCCGAGAGGAGAATGGAGAAGGGATTGCAGCGTGGCCATACCTCCTGGGAAGTGATTTCTCGCTTTTTGTCTCTGTCTTTCTGGCAAGCGCACGCGCCCTGTAGCAAAAATCTCTCCAAAAAAAAGAAAAAGAAAAAAAGGCTTCAGTGGATAGTATTTTAAAATTTCAGAATGGATAAAAATCCAGCATAGATTTTCGTATTCTTAATTACTTTTATGAAAATTGAAATTTTACTTGTCTCAAATCTCATTTTTATTCATCTCATTTTAGACTTAAAAATATGCCCCTCAGATGAAACCATGCTTTGCGTCTGTCAAACAGAAAGGATGCACGCTGCTCTGCGAGCCGACATCATCACAGAGTTCTCTGCAGCCCAGTTCGTGTCCTGCCCTCAAGAATGAGAGATGCAGACAGAGGAGGGAAAGGAAAGTGGGTTTGCTAGAGAAGATTCTAACTGGCAGGCCGGAGAGAGAGTTGCCGGGGTTTCTAGGTAGAGAAACTGTGGTTTTGGACCGTGAATTTTAAATCACTGTGACTAAGCTCAAACACATCTTTACTGATCAAAATACAAACCATACAATCAACACATTTTTGTCAACAAAAAATAAATTTGTTTACTCCTGCAGTGTAAAAAGTCATGCTCTGGGATTCGATGAACTCTTGGAGAACATTTTCTGCAGCGGGCTGGATGTGGATAAAAGCTGTCAAGGTGCTTGCAAAAGCGGTGGTCCACTGGTGAGGGGGCAGATGGCTGTGATAGACGAGGACAGACCTCGTGGTCCAATTCGCTCGACTTCTGAAACGGCGGGTCGCGTGCCAGGCCGCTGCTGTGAAGAACTGGGCCCTTGCTGCTGACCGACGCCAGCGAAGGCGTGGCCGTTCCCAGGGCATCGCAATTGCTGAGCATCTCTCTCGTATGCCGATGGCTGTGCTGGGATGGAGAAAGCTGACGCAGTGGCCAGCAGGGCACCCAGGGCGACACCTTCCTCGTTCCAAGTGTGACTTCGGGATGTGCCCTGGGGTTTCTTTCTGGTCCAACCGCTGGGCTGTTCGTCGCTCCTTACCACATAAAATCCACTTTTTGTGGCACATCGCACTCCGATCAAGAAATGGCTCGCACTTGTTGCACAAGATAAGACACTTCAAAAACCATTTTTTCCCTCATTTCTCAGTCAGCTCACGAGGCACCCACTTATCGTGCTTTCCCCTTCCAATCTGCTTCAAGCACCAAACAACTGTAGAATGGTCAACGCTGAGTTCAACATCTCGTGAACTTGTACGGGGTCAGCTTGGAGGACTGCTCTCGGCTGGCTGCTGTTGACTTTCCGGCCAGCCACGACGCTGCTCACCTAGAGCTCTGCCCTTTGTGAAGTGCCTTGTACCCACTGCACTGCGCATGCACTGGCCAGTCGGATCAGGGCGCTGTTGACATTCCGAGTTGTCTCTGCTGAATTACAATCCAGTTTGAACAAGAATAAGAAGATCACTCAAACTTTTCTGTCTAGCATCATTCCCATAGTCTAAGCAGCCATAAGTCATTAGCAAAACATAACGGAACGTGCGGTAAAGTGAGGTGCAGCATGCCCACTCCTTCACAGTTGTGTTCCGACACCCAATGGCGAATTTCAACAAGGTCAAACCACGCTTCTGCATACCTTAGTCTGGACAAAAAGCTGGCCTTTCTGTAGTGGAGGTCAGCATCGTTTGCTCGTTTTCTATCTGATAATCAGTGACGTGTCGCTAAACTTTTCTGTGGGGTCAGTGGAGTATGAAGATCTGTATTCTTTGTCTGGAGTCTGCTGATCCCACGGGCCCAGGATCCCTGAGAACATTTTTTAAGTGCTGCAGGACAGACTTACAGAAAGCTGTGGTCAGGTCTGAAAACATCCAGCTGCAATGACCCCACCGTGGCCCTTCCTCTACCTCAGGGACTGTCCTTATCTCTGATCTCATTCCCCCTCTCTGCAGAGGGGTCCCTAACCGTCCTTGGAGATTTGGGACAATGACAGTTCTGGCAGCTTCCTGCTGGAATGGGACATTGGAGGGAGATGACAGGCAATGACCCTCCACAAAGACTTACCCAAAGGCCCAGGATAGAGTGTGGGGAGTTCTCATTCAAGGGCTCATTTCAAGCACTGTTTGCAGTTTGGTGGAATCTCAGTGAGAAGAAATAAGTTTAGTAAGCAAGCTTGTTAATTCAGGGAGCAAAAAGGAGTATTAGAACAAGGGCGAGGGGTCCTAATTCTGAAGATCGCCAATCAGGTCACTGGAAAGGCATGACGAGGTACATATTTCATCTCATTTTCAGATGTCATCAATATAAGAATGAGTTTGCTCATAATTATCAGTGATTGTTTTGTTTTGGGGTTTTTGAGAGATTTTTGCTATAGGGGATGTGAGCTTGCTGGAGACAGAGAGGAAAAGTGATAAACCACCCCCAGGGGGTTTAGCCTCACCTCAATCCCTTCTCCTCCACTCTCCTCTCAGCATTCTGGACATCAACTACATGCACTCACTGTGAGTTTCAAGCCGCTGGGTCCAGGACTCAAACCGTGGTAGACCACATGGGAGTCCAGCACCTCAACCTCTATGCCACCCGCTGTCCCCATCAGTGATACTGACACAACACATTTGAGGGAATTCTGGATATCCTAGGTTACAACAAAAGCAACTGTGGCCCGGTAGGCCAAGATGTCAGATGGTCTCTCATTTAACCCTCGATTTACGGCAACTAATGCAAAACTGTGTCAAAGGTTTTAGAGAACAAGGAGGCTGATCCCATGGTTCCCACTGCTGCCCGTGGCTAAGCCAGGTCCAGGCAGAAAAGCCGGAGCCTCTGCACTTGACCCCGGCACACAGGAGCGCCGCCATCGGGGCCACCTCACCCCGGCACACAGGAGCGCCGCCATCAGGGCTACCTCACCCCGGCACACAGGAGCACCGCCATCAGGGCCACCTCACCCCGGCACAAAGGAGCACCGCCATCGGGGCCACCTCACCCCGGCACAAAGGAGCACCGTCACCGCCATCAGGGCAGGTGCATCCTTGGGTGGGGCCTGTTTTGAGGAGCAGGAGCTGGAGAAATCATAGCTACCTCGCTGCTGGCACGTAGCCCCACTAGACAGTGGGCTATGAGTGCGCAGTAGGACCCCACAGTGAGGACCAGCCATCAGGCAGAGGCAGAAGAATTACAGGCAGCATCACTGCTGTGGAATCAGCACGTGGATAGCGAGCGACAGGAGTGCAACTGAAACACAGCATCAGGAGGGGACGGTACGGAGAGCAACGAGGCCGTGTGGGCGGGAGGTCGAGCTGGAATGAACTTTCCTAGAGGAGGTGCATAGGTCGTAGTAACCAGAGACTATAAAGGCTTCAAGTTGTCTCATTCTGGAATTCTTCTGGGTCCTGTCTTACTCCTAAGAGACTGTGTTACAGTACTCCGTCTGTGTTCATACTACAGTGTACACAGAAGCAAGATTGGCTAAAGGTAATACAAACTGAGCGTATTCAAAAGTTGTTACCAGGGACCAGCAGGTGGCATAATGGCTGTTGTTGGACTCCCATGTGGTCGACTGTGGTTCAAGTCCCGGACCCAGTGGCTTAAAACTCACACCAGGCACGTGTGTGTGCGTGCCCAAGATCCCAAGAGGAGAATGGAGGAGAAGGGATTGCGGCATGGCCATCCCCCTGGGGGGGGTGATATCTTGCTTTCTGTCTCTCTGTCTCTCTCTGGCTGGCAAATGCACGTAACCTATAGCAGAAAAAAAAAAACCTCTCCCCTCAAAAAAGTTACCTGCTTTTCTTTGGAGAGTTACGTGGGACAAGCATTATATGTAACAGTGTCTACGATGGCATTTTTGAACTGAATGCAGCCGTGAGTGCCAGCATCTGACCAGTCACTTTGGGTCAGTCCTGTGGAGAAGTTATGGTTGCCCAGTGTGATGGACCTGACAGCCTAACCATGGTATCTTTAGGGCCTACCTTTGGATTATTTGGGGACCTTCTGTCC